GCTCATTTACAAGAAATAACTTTACTGTGAATTCGCCTTATGGTAACGACACAAATAGTATGCAACGAATGGAAGTAATGAAAAAACATTTTTTAGTGAATAAGATGTTATTCTAATAATAAATACTGATAATTTTATTACTCACATGATTTTACAATTAACAATTACCTACAAAAATGAATAAATTATTATATCAAATTTTAAATACCTCTTACTTTTTCTTTTATTATGTGGACATATGCATATTTAAAGTTGTGATATTTTTATTGTGTTAATATAAATTAATATATTATATTATATGTAAAATCTCATTTAATCAAATATACAATATGATAGAACATAATTACATGATAGTTACAATATGATAGGACGACAAATGTCTGTGATTGCATTTATTCGTCCATTTAGGTCAGTGATTCTCAAATTTATTGGACTTATCAAATTATGCTTTAACATCTAATAAATTTAATATATTGTTACTATTGTAATTTTTAAAGCAATCATCATGAAAGTTTATATACATATAACTTAAGCAGACTGTAATGACTTCAAATTTTTTTAAACATTAAAATATGTACTATGCTAATGAGTGTCGCTGGTTTCCGCCATTCCCTCCGCGCCCCTAGATACTATCGCGGACGTATCGTCTTGTTATGATTGTAGTTCTCAATCTTGCTTTTGAATTGGAAGACGTTTACTATCCCACTGTCGAAATTTGTAATCGCTGTCAGTTTTCTAACCTCTTTACCAACGAATGTACCGGTGTTTCATACTGTGTTCAAGTTAATAGTGACTTATAATCGCATATCATGATGTCGCGGTCTGTGCGTGCAGAGACTCGTAGTCGTGCCAAGGATGATATTAAGCGTGTAATGCAAGTCGTTGACAAAGTTCGCCATTGGTAAATCTCTTAACATATTATAGATGCACGAGGAAACGTTCAAAGGTCTTACAAATATGTAAAAAAAGAATGTAGTAAAACTGTATGGATATCAATAATGGATTAAAATTTTTCTTACTTCCGAGGTTTAATAGAGATTTTGCATTACACATGTCTGCTGTAAACAGACCTCTGTAGTTCTGAAATGTTTCATGCGTGTTGATTGAGTAATAGTGTTCTATGTCTGCTTTTTTAATAATAGTAAAGAAGGTAGCTTCTCTGTCTGTTATTTCAATATTGATTTGAAGAATGTACTTTTTATGCTGATACTTTTATAGGGAAAAAAAATGGGTTACAATAGGAGAAACTACTATGAAGATTTATAAATGGGTACCTATATCAACACTTGATCAGGTAAATAGAAGTTGCACAGTGTACATAAGAGTAGAAAGCAAAAATAAATATCGTATTGTTTAGAAGAAGAAAGGAAAGACAGTGGCAGACAAGGAAAATGGTTTACCAAGGAAAAGTGGATTAGATTCTTCAAATTCCAATTTTGGACTTACAGAAGACTCAAATACATGTGAGTGAAATTTCAGTAACTTATAGAATACTTGTTACCTTTGAGCATTGAAATTTACAAAAATATTGCAATGTGTTAGGTTTTTCAACAGTTAGTGATTCTCAAGGATTAACTGACTTTTCTGCACATCTGGGATTTTCAGAAGATTCTAATTCACAAAATAGTGAACCAACACCTAAAAGGTTAAAGACTGATTAAAGTTTATTCTTTGACTGTTATGTGGAATATAAGATATTTAGGAACCATTTATATCTTTTATGAATTTGCACACTATAAAATTGTCTTAAATTGTAATTGAGAATGAATGAATTGAACAAGGTTTCTTCATTTTTCATATTACTCTACATTTAGTGAAAATTTTTATCTAGTGAAGAAAAGAATAATTGTATGGAACAATTTGATCTACATATAGTCAATTAATTTTTTTATACATAAATTTCTTACAAAGTTTCATGGTTCAATTGACAAGCTATATTTAACAATATTCTAATGCAATATTTATCTTGAATGTTCAGTCCGTTTTAAGATCTGATTTTTAAAGAAGTAAACAAAATGTAGTGTAGAATTATTTTTCAAAATGGATTGTTCATTCTAAAAAATGTTTGTAAGATCACAGTATTATTTAATTCACAAGATACATACAAGATTTTCACTTATTTGAATGTAAAATTTGAGAAAACAGGTTGTAAAACATTGAAGCATTATAATGTTGAAGATGTAAAATAGATAATGGGTACATTTATTTTTACTGTAAGATAGTATCTCAGAAATACTTAAGTGTACTGTTACATTTATCTTTGAAATATTTATGTCTAAAGATTACATGTTCAATAATTGTTTCATAACTGAGTATCGTTGTACATATTTTAAATATCATTTTTTGCAGTCTAATACTCTAGAATGAACTTGCATTCCTTGAAGTTATGTTATAGCACTGTGACATGTACAAAATAAGTTTTGACACTTTCAAATAAAGCAATACAATTGTGAATGTTTGAATTTATATTTATGTAAGATTTCATGAAAGTATAAAAAAGTTTTGATAAAATTATTGCTTAATCATTTTCATTTGTTTAAAAACAATTGTACTTAACATTTGTAATAAGTTGCAAGAAACATAAAAGAAAATTCTATTACAAGGCTGTTATAATTTCTGTATAATAACTGTATATATGAATTCTGATCTATTACTTTAATAATCTCTGTATATTATAGAGTATGTATAGAAAAATATCCAAATGTGAAACAAAATTTAATGTCTTGTTTAATACCTTTGTTCTACTATAACTAAC